GCAACAAGAGAAGAGTAACTGAGACACATCAATTCCAACTCTGCAAATTCTCCGTCTTACTGTCCAATTTTCTCCCTACTTTCCTTAGTACATTGGTCACAACTGTGTTCCAGGCACTTCCGCTCAAGCACTTAATGATAATCCTGATATGCAGACCACCTGCAGTCCGTATCAGCCATCGACAGGTGAGGCAGGCGGTACGGCAGGCAGTGTGTCTTGTGTCTCAGGCAGAGACCACGCAGCCTGGGCCTGAGCAGCAGACCCTACAGCCCCGGGAGAGCCACCTCGGCCTTCGTGGTCCAGCTCAGCCTCCAGCCTCCTGCTGCAAGCAGCTCCGGAATCTGGCAACTGTCCCCAGGGGAGTGGGGCAGTGTGCCCGCGGGAACCTTTACTGTCTCCTGTCTGCAAGCAGCAGCAGCCTCTGCTCCCCAGCCTGGCTCCCCTGTCTCCCCTGGCTCCCCAGGACACAGCCAGAAGGCCCTGAGCGTCCTTCACCTCTGTTAGACTCTGCCTGGAGAGCCCGAGACCTGGACAAGCAGATACCCAGAGCTGTCAAACGCTTCTCAGGAGAAAAAGCACCACATAAGACAGGGAGCTCATGTCCTCTCAGAAAGGCCCCCCATCCTCTGATCCTCGCTTCCATAGCTTAGTGAACTTTACCAATACGATTTTTCAGTAACATCCAGCTTTTCCCAGCCTTTGCACCTGGAGAATCACCCTGTCCTAACCTAAGGCAAGCTGCCTGCCCCAAGGTGAAGTCTTGCAGTACTTTTTAGAGAAGATGTGAAGACTACTGGCTATGTCTCTCTGTATTCAACAAGACTCACTTAATAAATATTCATTCACAAAACTTACTCACCAATTATTTTTTGATGGATGGCAAGTTCATTTTTCAGCACTCTATTTAGATATTTCCTCTGGCTTTTCTCTCCCAGGGCAGGCCCTTGACCCTGAGAGGAAGGCTTCAGTGTCTGAAGTTGTTTAAAACCATCAGGGCACAGGAGACAGTGACAGGTAGGTCCTTGGACGCTGTCCCTGGCGTAGCCGAGGCCACTTGTGGATGCCTGCTATCTCCATGTGTGGGGAACACAAGCAACAGCTTGTGTGGGTGACAGACAGGGTCAGACACCTGGTGGTGGCCATCCTGTGCAGGACGGCAGCTGCCAAGTCAGGGTCACAGGGGAGTGCAAGGTCTTGTTGTCTGCACTGGCTGTTGTGGATAATGTGTCAAGATGGACGCTCAATGGTATCTGGGATATTCTGTTTGTTTGTAGCTTTGGGGATCAAACTCAGGGTCTGCGCACTAGGAAAGCCTTCTACCACTGAGCTACACCCCAGCCCCTTTTGTTATTTGAGATGAGGTCTCGCTAAGTCACCCAAGCTGGTGTTGAACTTAGGAGTCTCCTACCTCAGCCTCCTGAGAGGCTGGGATCACAGGCGTACTGCCACCACGCCCAGCATATCTGGGGATTCTTAAATGGTCCATCTGTGATGAGAAGGCTTTGGCTTCTCAGATACTACAGGGGTCTCTCTCAACAGCAATGCCCCTGCAGCGGAGCGCTGCCCCCCTCAGATGCACCTGCAGCACCAGTGGTCACTTGTGGACACCCTTCTTCTGGGCCCCTTGAGCCTTGACCTTCCTTTCCACTGCCTATGGCCAGGCAGACCCCTGAGGCCAGGACGCAGTGGGAGACCCACGAGCGGCCTCTGGGGGTCTGCACTGCACCCGACCCCCTTTCCTTCCTGTGTTCCCAGATCCAACCCCATCTGCTGGGGCCTATGCTCGCCTTCCGGCCTCGGCACTGTCCACCACCTCTCCCTGCTGATAGCTGTCTCCTCTCCCATACTCGCTGGGCTCTGGGCCCAGGGGTCACCTTCCCCTGACAGCCATCTCCTTTTAGCGCTCCTGAGGATACAAACAGTTGCAGTGGCATGTGTACTGCAGGGCCACTACCATTGTCCCAGGGGAGCCACGAACTTCTCTGCACACTCCCCACCCACTGACTCACCAAGAGCCACCTGTCCAGAGTCCCACAGGGGTCGTCTCTGACTGACTCACAGTGCCTCTGGCTCTGGGGAATCCCAGTCCCAGCTGGCAGCTTCTGAGTGGGCCTCAGGGAGCTTCCCTGGACCCAGAGAAGGCACTGTGGGGGCACAGGGGGCCCACAGCTCTGGCACCATGCAGAGGAGAGAGCTTCCTGGGGAGGGGGCTGTGGTAGGAAATGGTGCCTGGGGCCCCCAGGCCTGGCTGCAGCCAAGGACAAGCAGTCTAGGCTTTCCCCTGTCCCCAGTCTGCCAGGAGGCTGCCGCTGGGCAGAGAACCCGACCCACACCACAGAAAGGTGTGGAGTTCCAGAAGGGCTCCAATGCATGTGGACACAGGCTTCACAAAGACCAGCCGCTACAGACAAAGAGCAACACTTGCACACCAGAGACCTAAACGGAAGCAGACTTCAGGGATGGGGTGGGTGAAGGGTAAGCCGTGAGCAGCCCGGGGCACCCTAGACTGTGTGAAGTTTGTTGCTGAAGAGCTGCTCACTGCAGGAGAGGCCCAGGCTGGGCAAAAACAGGACTGGGTTTGTTTTGCTTTGCTTTGTGGTGCAAGGGATTGAACCCCAGACCTGGAGTCAAGAGCTCTACTGAGCTACAGCCCTAGCCCATAAGGCTGGTCTTGACCACCACGGAATCAGGCACGACCCAGGGGAAATATTACCTGGCCTGGGATGACCCACAGGGGCTAAAGCACTCGGCCCCCCTCCCCCTCCCTGGCCTCTACTTCCCCGCCCACCCCCAGGGCGCCCCCTCCAGGTGCTCACCTGATTTTCCGCAGCAACGTGTGGAAGGGCCGGAAAAGCTCAGACATGTCCTCAACCTTGCGCTCCAGGTTCAAGGGTCCATCTGCATAGACCACAAGGCCACTGCAGCAGAGACACACAAACCAGCTGGTTACCTTGTGAGCCCTGGGGAGGGGCCTGAGAGCCCTCAGTGTCAACACCTGCCCTGGGACCATGTGGTAGCCCTGCCAGATGGTTCCACTCTCACCCCTCACCCTCATGACAGATGCTCAGAAACGGGCGGGTGAGATAGCTCAGCAGCATAAGCACCTGCCTCACAAGCACAAGGTCCCAACTTCGATCCCAGGTAGCCCCCCAAAAAAAGAATCACGCAGGCTTTCTCATCTTCTGAAGTTATTAGTGCGTGTTCAAGAGAAGGGTCAGAAAATCATCCTAAGAATGGATTCTTACCTAACTGTCACAACCAGACAAATTAGTGTAGAGATTTATCAGCTGAACCCACCACCTTGGGAGCACAGCACCTGGAACTGGGTCTAAACTGATCTGTGCAGCTTTCTGAGCATGAGACCCAAAACTGTCCTCTCCAAAAGCAAAACACAAGTTGCAGAATAGAGATCCTGCAGGGCCCCCCGGCTCCCACTCCAGGGCACCCCTCCCCAGCATGTGGCTTTCTTTCCTCACTGTCCTTCAGCTCAATACCTGAAGGCCACCCCACGCAGTCCTGCAGCCCTGCCCAGCACCTGCAAAGGAATTACATCCGCCATGGCCTGACCTCGCTCCCAGAGCCTCTACCCTTCAGGCCGCTTCTCTTGGGGCCGCTGGGCACCCAATGGCTCTGTTCTGGGCTCGGGTCTGGAAGTGCCATGGGTTCCCAGGAGACATCCATCCATTCCCTGCCTCATCATTGGAGGCAGACCAGAACTGTGTGGCTTCATCCGTGTGAATGAAGGGCACCACTCATCCCTGCAGAGGTGACAGGGTCTTCCTGCCAGGTTTGGGGCTGTCATCACCATCTAACATGGGAAACAACATCAAAACTGAAGGAAGAGGGGCTGGAGAGATGGCTCAGTGGTCTAAAGCACCTACTTGAAACAAGCTTGGCAAAGCACAGGGACCTCAGTTCGATCCCCAGCACCACATGCCAGCCAGACCCGCCCCCTGGTGGGCTGAGCTGGCCACACACACATACACAATAAATAAATGTAATAAATAAAAATAAATAAATATTAAAAAAAAAAAAACTGAAGGAAGAGACTCCTCTCCTTAGAAGGTTGTGTTTCATGTGAAAAGGAAGATCCAAACACGGCTGTGCTTCCTTGTGTGGCAGGACAGCTGTGACTGGGGTCCACCTGCCCTGCTAGCAGAAGAGTCAGAGCCGCACCAAGGGCTGTGTCTTGCCCTGCACCAACTCAGCCGTGGGCACCTGATACCATGGCAGTGCCCTGCAGGTCTGTTTCTGGCCTCCTCACCGAGCTCGCCCTCCAGGCCTGTCTACTGCACCACTGTCGCCTTGCAGCTTCCACTTGCATCTCTTGAATGACCAAAGGTGCTAAACATCTTTCCAGGTGCTTATTCACTGAGTGTATCTTCTTTGGAGAAACGTCTACACTGCCTTTTGCTGTTTCTGAATTGAGTTGCTGGTGTCTTTGCTGTTGAATTGTAAGGATTCTTCATCTGTTCTGCACACTGAGCATTTATCAGACAGATGATTTGCAAATACTTCCTCTCACTCTTTTTTTGGTATTGGGAATCAGTCTCAGGACCTTGGGCTTGCCGGGCAGGCACCTGTGCTGCTGAGCTGTCTCCCCGGTGCCCCCATTCTTTACGTTGTCTTTCCACTTTGATGACAGCATCTTTGATGCAAAAGCCCGCTGTGATGAAGGCCACTTTGTATGTATTTTTGTTTTGCTGCTCGTGTTGCTAGTGTGCTTGGTGTCAAATCTAAGAACCCGCTGCCGAGTCTGAGAATGTGAGTATCTACTTCTTGGATGAGGGCAAGAGAGACTTGGGGCTGATGGGCATATACTTATTTGAGGAACTAATTCATGCAGTAGTGGGGCTGGCGAGTCTGGAATCTGAAAGGAGGCGAGCAGGCTGGAGCCCCAGGAAGAGGCGACCTTGAGCTCAAGGCTGAGGGCCACTACAGGAGTCCCTTGTACCTGGAGACCTCCTGAGCTGACTGGATGAGACCCGCCTGCATTATAAGGGTAACTGGCTCTGCTCCGAGAGTATTGGTCTGCATGTGACCCTCAACCTGAAAATGCTTTCAAAGCAACATCCTGGCTGGCATTTGGCCAAACATCCGGTTGCCAAGGCCCAGTGGAGTCGACACAGAAAATTAAACATCACAGGGGTCTGACTTGTACTTTTTGGAAGTGCCTGCCCACCGCCCCAGCAGCCTGTATTTAGGAGAAGGCTCTTTCCCCCACCGAATGGTCTTGGCCCCTTGTCAAAGACCAGCTGGCCACCAGCCCTGGTGGATGTCCCGCCTCTCGATTCTACTCCAGAGGTCTTTACACGTATCATAGAGCAAGTGCCCGTGTTTAGATGAGCAGATTTTCTTTAGTCACTGTTTTTTCTCCAACCAGATTTTACTGGTACCTTTTAGGTATACATAAGGATCACATTCATCACAAAGGATTTGTAGCTGTACATAATATGACTTGGTTCTTTTTTCCCCTTTCCCCACCCGCCCTTCAACTCCTCTTCCCCTCCCCATTTACAAAAGCTTTGTTTCAGGGCCGGCCAGACAGCTCAGCAGATTAAAGTTGCCTGCTTAGGCAGACACAGGCAGGGACCGGGGTTGCATCCCCAGTGTGCCGAGCCGGCCCCGCCCCCAGGTGCACAGAGACAGTGCTGAGGCTGGGCATGGTGGTGCAGGCCTGTAATCCCAGCGCTTGGGAGGCTGAGGACAGGAGGATCACTACGACTCTGATCTGTGTAGTGAGACCCTGTGCACCCTGTACTGAACACATTTAAAAAAGAAGACGAAAATTCATTTCCATTTTTTCCTTGTCTCACTTTTTAAGCCTTCACCTCCTTTCATTGCCCCTTCCCCCTCTGCGTTCCCCTCCCCATCTGAATATTTTCTTCCTATTTCTCAATACCTATTATATACATTTTGACCCTTATTTATACATTCAGTTTCTCACACTAGAGAAATAATGCAATATATTTGAGTGTGAGTGTGTGTGTGTATGTGTGCGCCCAATTTATTTCACTTATGAGTATGTTCTCAAGGTCTGTCCATTTACCTAGAAATGCCTTGAGCTTATTCTTCTTTATGGCTGTGTAGTACTCCATTGTATATTTAAGAACACATCTTTATTCATTCACCAATTGAGAGGCATCTGAGCTGTTTTCAAGATTTGGCTATTATAAACTGTATCACTATAAACATGGGTATGCATATATTGCTGTGGTATGATGTTTTTCCTTCTTTTGGGAAGACTCCTAGAAGGGGAACAGCTGGATCAATGGCATCTCTAGTCCTAGTTTTTTGAGGAATCTCCACACTGATTTCTACAGTAGTTGTCTATCAGAAAATGATCCGCTGGCCAATACACTTCAGTTTCTTAGCTGTCCAGGTAACAGTTCCTGCTCCTGTTCCAGTTGCTTCTGGCCTCCTAGACATGACTGGTCACTGTCATGGGTAGCTGCTCACTAGGATGATGCGCCTTGTATAAACCAGTCTCCCATGGACAAGCCGTTCTGCCTCCGTACTTCCTGCTTGCTTATCTCACAGAAGCCCTGCACTACCACAGATCAGGGCCCGACACTGGGAGCGATCCCAGACAGTGCCTGCCAGTACAAATAAATCCGCCTCCAAGTCGTGGGTTCTGTTTCGTTGCTTCTGTTTGCTGTTGCTTCTGGTGCACTGGCTGGGTGGACTGGCGCTGTGGACCTCTCTGGCCACTGGTTGTGGCCCCCGCGGACAAAGCAAGGACCTCTCCAGGTCCTTACGGAAGGTGTGACCTCAAGATTTCTGGAGTCCTCTCTGAGGTCTGAAGAAGGATTCCTGGCTCCCACGCAAGTAGCTCACATCAGACCTCAAAGGGAGGAGGACAGAATCTGTTTGTCTGTCTTTGTGCATCTGCCTGCCTGCCTGCCTGCCTGCCTGCCTGATTCTGGTAAGACCCCAGGGACACTCCAGTTAGTAATGCTGTCAGTCCTGCTCATTTTAAGCAGAAGAAGAACTTGATCAACTCTTGTTAGTTAAGGCCACCCTCAAGGGAAGCAGAGTAGGAATATTTAACCTCTGAGTGCCTGCTAATGGGGGGGGCACAGGCAGCATCAGCAAGAGGCTACTCCGTCTGTGCACCACGACGGGCACGCCGCGGTCTCGACAGCTGACTGAGACCTCACCTGTGGTTCTGTGGTGACCAACATATGGCGTACCAGAGGACTCACACCTCCTCAGCTAAGTCCCCAGAAGGGTGCAGCCAGGTGGGCATCCGAATGGTCTCTCTCTGAGGGGTGCCCATCCTTAGCATGTTTCACTTTGGTTTAAGGATACGCAACATGCATACACCATAGGGAGACAGAATGGGAACTATTTAGTTAAAACCCACAGTCCCTGACTGTAGGAAAAGGGGCTTTTGCAGAGTTGAAAATGGAATGGAAAAAGAAGCCCATTCTTCCTGAGAATTCCACCTTGGCAACCTCGGCGGCTGCTGCCATTGCTGCCAACACGGTAGCGTCACCTCCCGCTCCTGACGCATCGGCCGCCAGCCAGATGGCCAGGCTCCAGCTTGCCACGGCCTACATCTGGCCACAGAGCCCTCCCTTCTGAGCCTTCCGCTCACATGCTGCCTATCCTGGTCAGCTGGCATTATCTAGCGCCCACCCAGGAGGACCATCAACAGCTCCTTCTGAGTTCCACGCTTTGACTGAAGAAAAATTGGACTGTTGGCCCTGACAAAGAGTTGCACCCTGTCAGGCCTCAAATGATAGGACAGACTGAACTCTATTGAATTGGCTCCCTGAGAGCCCACAGTCATTGCAAAAATCAGGGGCAAACCTGTGACTTTCCTGGTAGACAATAGAACAGAACTCTCTCCCTTCAAAAATTCTGTCTGATTTTAAAAAAAGTTAAAATCACCAGGGCAACTGAGACTCTTGCC